TGAGCTCAAATGTGGGTTCTGGCATAAGTGATTAGAGTTCCACACTTCCATGATCCTCAATTCTAAAAGTAATTCACTACTTGTACCTATTTTTCATATGTGGCTGGTCTGAACTAGTAGTTTGCTTTCATTCGGATAAACTTTTGAATGTATTCTTATTTGTTAGATCATAACTTATGAATTTAATCAAACGTATTGATCTATTGATGTTAATTGTTTTGCTAAATCATAGCTCAAATTTCCATAAAAAATGATAGCTAGCGTTATCTACTCATTTCTCTATCAATACATGCTAATCATACTAATTTATGTCAGAATGCCAATACTTTTTCTATGATAAATTCACTGTTAATGCAACTCTATCTGGTCATGTTCTATATTGCAGTTTTTGGATGCGGTGGTGAAAGAGATAGAGGGAAAAGGCCTCTGATGACAAAAATTGCTACTGATAAAAGTGATGTGGTTATATTGACTTCTGACAATCCAAGGAATGAAGATCCACGTACGTGTCTTAACTGTACTATGTGTGTTCGAGCTTTGTTCTTGGTTCATCTATATATTGAAATAGCTGGTCATATTTTAAATTTCTGCACTATTACTAACTTCACTAGAGACTTATACACAATGATCGAATTTCACATTCTTATACTTGACCAGTTGACATCTTGGATGACATGTTGGCTGGCATTGGTTGGACTATGCAAGATTATCTAAAACATGGTGAAAATGACTATTATCCACCCCTTTCAAATGGCCATAGGCTTTTCTTACATGACATTAGAAGGGTAGCTGTGCGCGCTGCTGTTGCTATGGGCGAGGAAGGTGATATAGTTGTAAGTTTCAAGCCGTCATCTATATTCTTCTCTTTTGAAATCGTATTGATTGTTTTCATTAGTTTGTCTTAAAGTCCTAGCTACTACACTAAAACTCTGAAGTTGTGGTGAGAGTTGAGGGTTATTGTTTTATATTCTAACATGCCCTTGCAGGTTGAGCACCCTTTTTATGGGCTGAGACCTGTACTCACACACTAGTATCGATTTTTTGTTTTAAAACCACATTAAATTCGTGACTAGTGGGATTCGAACGGACTTGGGTTGTTCTGATACCATCTTAGTGTCCTTGCCACTACACCGAAACTTTGAAGTTGTGGTGAGGGTTAAGGGTTATTGTTTTATATTCTAACAGTTTGGTTTATCAATACATATAGAAAGTACTTGCAAGACAAAAAAGAACATCTTTCTATTGTGTATTTTGAGGTGAGTATACAAACTTCCTTTAAAGTTAGTATATCCAACTTTGTGCAGCATGCTAGAAAGTAATCCTTGCCTGTTAGACATGTTTTCTACTGCATGAAGTTTGTATCATCGAGTTACTGCAAAACTTTAGGCCCCAACTGGTAGTGCCTTCTCACTTTGCTCGGTTAACTCTTTGCACAATGTTCTCCCATGGTGGCAAATGTAGTACATTATGTCAGCTACATTCAACTTTACATACATTTAAGATGTAGGCATACTTTTGATTGTCTAGATAATATACTTCTTTGCTGTATAATATACCATGTGAAGAGAAGGGAAAAAAATGAAAGCTGTACTCACTAGTATGGATTATAGCATGGTTGGAAAGGGACAATGGTAGAATTAGCAGAGAGTGAGATTGAACTGCTAAAAAGAGAGTTATCTATCAACTGAACTTAATAGATTACTCCCATCATAATTTAGAATGATTGTAACAGGTCTGTGATTGGAATAGGTTCTTTGCCTCTTTAGCTTATATCATCTCTTTGAGATGAATATAGTTCCTGAAGCAAAATTTGCATTTTCACCTCTTCAGACACTCAGTATTGGCAATAAAATAAAGCACATCACCTGCTGAGTTAAATTAACAACTAAAAGCGTCTCTTTATTATACTTTATGTCATCGTCTATTAATCTAAAAATGTCATTTTCAATAAATTTATTAATGCTTTCAGTGTTTAAACAAAAGGTTGAAGCTCTAGCCAACTTAAATGGTAGCATTGCATCAATTTATTTGAGTTATTATCTAATCATCTTAACTTACATTTACATTCCCTTTGAGAAGTTTCTGTTTACCAAAGGTTCAGAAAGTCTGTGCATAACAATAATATTTGAATTTTGAAATGCAAGTTTTGGTTTGAAAATTTCAAAACCAAGTGCATGTTGGTAGTTTATAATTTTGACGTGTTACAAAGTCCTAACCAATCACTCCTCACCCCATCCTACTCCGCAACCAAAAGAACTTGTTCTTTTCAGTGTATCCTTTTCAAATCCTCTGGGAAGATAACGCAAAGATCTCTTCTTGTATTTTTCTTAACGTAAGACATTTTGTATCTAATACAGCTCGTATTACTTTCATGTTATATGCTCTGAAGTCATGCTAGATCAATAGGTAGGTCGATTTTGTGGTTAATTGTATTTGTTCCTTCTTCTGATCAAGGTTTTACAAATAAAAAATCGGAGAAATATCGGATGGCCAAAATGCAAATTGATCACGAATATTTGGAAAATATCAGAGATATGTAGTAAATATTGAAGTATCATATCGGATGATGTGCATATATAATATAATATCCTAAAATGTAATCTAATCATATTTCATGAAATCTAAGCACAAAAAAATGTAAATAATATATGTTTAGGATCACTAACCAATTGTCAAAACTTACTTGGGAAAAGAGCATACTAGAATTTACTACGAAACTTCATGAGGCTGGAATTTTTGCTAAAAGACATCAATTTTTTTTTTGCAAAACTATATTGTTTAGCAATAAGCCATATAAAATGACATATCAGTCAACTTATTAGCTAATATATTAGCTATGTTGGGGATATATCGGTCAAACATTACAAAAAAAGCGTATATTAGGATCATATCGTTTTGCAGCAAGTCTTATAAATGGATATACCGGTAGTATATATCAGATATATCAGGGATATTTAAAACAATGTTTCTAATCTTGCACCTTTTCGTTCTGCAGCCTTTGGTGTCTAAAATTTACTAAACTTGATATGACTTCTTTTCTTCTTCAGGTTGTTGCTGGTAAAGGTCATGAAACTTCCCAAATAGAAGGCGATAAGAAGGAGTTCTTTGATGATAGAGAAGAGTGCAGAGAAGCACTGCACTATGTTGATGAATTGCACCAAGCAGGGATAGACACGAGCGAGTTCCCGTGGCGGTAGGAAGCTTCTATCTGTTTTTCTGAAGTTCTCGTGTTTCTGACATATAATTGCTTTGCTGCAAATTTAACCCTACGATCAAGTATGTTAGATTAATCTGTCACATGAGCTTGCTTAAATGCTATCAAGTGGAAAATCTAGTTAGGCCCACCAATGTTTAATAAGTGGAAGCGCAAGGCGAAGCGTTAGACCCTTTAATGAAGCAAGACATAAGCTTTAAAGCATGAGGCGTAAGCCTCATGAGTTTAAGCATACATATAATATATAGTGGTTTAGTAATTTACAAATAGATATATTCATGTCCTAATTAGTAAATATGTATTAAATATGTGAAGTATAAACAAAACGCAAATCACAATAAACTAAGCTACATGCATACCATATATATTTATACTCATGCACCTGGTCATATTGAAGTTACATAGTGGCAATTTAATGTTAGCCAAAAATCCTTTTATATCCTCCTATCTTGTCTAAAGCATGCGCTTTAAAAGAGAGGCGTTGTATGAAGTGCGAAGCGCACACTTCCGTTATGCTTTAAACGATGAGGCGTAAGCTTTAAGAGATAAATACCTTCCCTCTTGAGTTTTGAAGCGTTTACCCTTCAAAAACTTTAAAGCGAGTTTCGAAGCAAATCTAAAAAAAAATCTTTTTCAAACATTGAGGCCTACATAAGAAAGATTTCTTGGTTGACCATATATTTTTCGTATAGATTAAGTTTCAAACTATTTCCTCTCTCTGGTTAAGAAGATAAACAAAATGAAAATTTTGACTTTGTGTTGAAAGGTTTTTCCTGTCATCTATTGTTGGTTTGCTAAAACCGTTGAGAAATAGAGGAAATGGGAACCAATTATTATGTTCTATCATCTTTTATACTCAGACTGCTGCTGTTGCTATTGCTGCAACTTGTAGTACTGTTAATGGTGCTAGTACTCTCCTGGGAGACACGTGATCTAGCTCTAATATAGACATTATAATTATTTCAATGCCTTTCTAGTTTGAATGCTTTGACTCAACTTAAAATTCATATAGAACTGACATGCCTTCCCATTCACACACTCTGCCATCATTGTAAAGTGAGAAATCTTAGTTTTATTAGAAAGGTTCCTAAATGCCAAATAAGACTCTTAAATTGCAATGACTTTATGAATTTTTCAATTACAGCTCAGCATAAGAAAAACATATATATTTTTAATATAAAGTTGGATGTATGTACAAGGAAAAGCCTTGATTCAAGATGATGTTTTTTTCCCCTTTTGTTTACAATGCTCTAATTTTGTTCATGTCATAGCTTCTTCTGTTAAGAATGCTATGCAACGTCCATATGTAGCATGCAGTATTCTGAACATAACTCCTCTTGAAATTTTTTCAGTTAATTTATTGCTATATACAAAATAGCTTCTTTAAGATTGAATGTTGCTGATTTTATTTATTTTGACGTCACTATGTTCATTTCTCTAAACATTGCATATGGCTCACAATTGGATTATGAAAGAGGATTCATGTAATAACTTATCTACTTTTTTCCCCTTCTCTTACTATATTATTAAACGAGCTTGAATGATTGATATTTTTGCATTTGTATATGAGAAACTGCGATCATGTTTATTAGACAGAGGCATATTGGAAAAATATTACTAATACTAAGGGTGGAAATGTACATGATCTACACACTATATCAGACATTCTTAAATTGTATGCATTGAAACCCTAAGCTAATAGAGAATCCAAAAAGGTGTGATTTTTTTCTGTAAATGTATGTATTGTACATTATATATTCAATTATGTGCCCGTGTCCCATCTCCCACCCTTTAAACAGGGAGGAAATGCATTCGATCATCTTGTTCCCTCCCTCGAATCTGTGACCAACCTAATCACAAGCGCCATCAACTCCCTCGCTTCCTTTCCTATATTTTGCTATTTAATGCCTTAAACAGGATAAAACCAGAATTAGCCTATTGTTTTCCCCCTTTTACCAACCTAAAAATATTTTTCTTAATAAAGTGCTCAGTTTAAGTAGAATTACTGCGAAAGTATCTCTATGACCACTGTCACAATGCATTGTGAGTTGTGACATTGCCAATCTCAAGTGTCACTGTTGGCTCTCTCTTTCCATTCAACTTATTAATATGTATCAAGTTCAGTGAAATATTGCAAGTTTACAGCTTACTCTTGGATCCATCTTATCTTGTACAGGTTACCAGAGAGCCACTGATGTGTCCTACTATAATACATGAGGTCATACCTCAAGCAGGTCATATTATGAAGACATAAGTTCTGTTATTTCATGATTACTATTGAGCTATCATGGAGTGATATTACAGGTCCATTCGCACTGATCCTTTGTTGCATATTACTATTTTATTTTTCTCCCTCATTGAACTCACTTTCTGGACATGAGCCATCTGGAGTAAAGACCTTTTCTGCTGCATTCTATTATGATTTGGAAGTTAACACTATCTAGTAAATTTTTTTGTCATTTATGATCTACAACTTTCACTTTCCAAGTTGCATAATGCTTCCTATCCTCATGTATCTTTTAATTCTTCATCATCCTATTTCTTGTCGATCAGAAATGGTTTGGACCGGTTTGCTACAGAGCACAAATCTCCATGGAGATGTTGACGTTTTGCTGCCAAAGACAATTTAGCTGCAGAGCACAAATCTCCATGGAGATGTTGACAAATTTTGCTGCTTATGTCAATTTAACATTAAAAAAAACTTATTGTGTTCAAAATTTCTGGTCAAGGTCTATCCAGAAATGGGGTTTTTCCATGAAGCCGGCAGGATAGGGATCCTCAAGTACTAATAATTGAACTGTGGTGAAATATTCCTAAAGATCTCCAATATGAGGCTAGCATCAATTTGTTGTTATAATATAAAATTCTCTCTCAATTCTCACCACAACTTTCAAGTTTTATACAGGCAGAAACCTTTAACATGTAATTGTAGCCAATCAGATCAACGTATCACCGCCACAAATTTAAAGCGGGTTCAAAAAGGATAATGGTGATTGAGTTTAGATTTCATCCCCAGAAAAGGGTGCTAACCTACAGTGGCATGTCAGCTTATAAAATTATAACTCACAATCCTCACAACTTCGGAGTTTTGGTGTAGTAGAAGGGACCTTTAACTTTGGAATTTTGTTATGTAGGGAACCTACCTTATTGGTCTGGTAGGTTATACTTATTCAGCTATGAGATGACTGCCAGAGCTCCTAGAGTAAAAAAGAGTAGAAGGAATAAATTAATTACTAAATTTTCTACAGGAAACTTTTCGGCACAAGACAGAATGATGTGATGTTAACACATTTCCCAAATTACTCCAGTTCTACTTTCTAATGATTCAAATTTTTTTTGGGTGCATTGTCTGTTTCTCCTTTTTCATTGTGTATTTCCTTATAAGAATCATTTGAATTCTATTTTGTGTTGCAGTTAGGGGCTTCTACTAGATAAAGGCAATTTTGTCATGAAGATGATCCTCGGTCTCTTCTATCAGAGCCATCTGCAGTTTGTATCTTGTTTGTTTGTAAATTCCTGTTATATTTTGTTATAGATGTTATGTAACAATAAGGCTTGGTGCAGCCTTTCTAAAGCCCCTCAATATTGGAAGTTTTTCCAAGTAGTTCAGAATTTGGTGTTAAATGATATAATTACTGGAAGCAGAAGCTTGTTGTCTCTTTACTTTTTCTCACTCTTGTAAATGAAGAAATTGAATGGACAGCAATGGAGAATATGCAGCAAGCTGAGTCCGCAGTCAAGAAGTTGGAGCTCTGAGATTCTCTTTTGAGATGCTCTTTTTTCTGCCTCAAAGTCGACTCTCAGATTTGCCGCCTGTTCATCTCATCTTTCAAATGTTGATGTCACTAAGTTCACCACTCCATTCTACAGGGAGTAGGGAGCACTGTATGAAATTTTCGGTAATGTCATTACTTGAGAGAGCATATCGTGCAATGTTGAAATCAATCTTCAACAAAAACAGATACCAATGAAATTTCTGTCAAGAAATTTATTTATTAAGTATTTGCTTTTCCTTGTTTAGGTTAACCTAAAAAGGGAGAATATATTAGTTAGTCTTCCAGATTCATTTAACCATCCCAGCTTAGTGAAATTGTAAGAGAAGAACTTTACCTTATTTTCTGTTTTACTTTCTCTTCTTCCTCTTTCTCATGATAATTCTTTTTTTTCCAATTATATTCCTTTTATTTGTTTTTTCAGTTAATTTATAATATTCTTTCATTGCCTTTCCAAACTATCTATATTTCTTAGTTGTATAACCATGTATTTATGTTCTCAAGTGGTTATTTGTTTTGTTTGCAGTTGGTGACGTTGATGGCACCGACCCACCAGTTGTATGTAAGATGGACTATGTCATAATTTTTTCAGCTGTGGCTCCTATGTTCATCAATGCGATACGCGTAAAGCTCAAGAGAGTTGGATATGGGGATAAGTCAGTCAATTTGTTTGTTAAACAATTGAAAGTTGGTATGCATATAAGATACTTTTTTCTCTAGTTGTGCATTGAATATAATTACATGTATTTCGATATAATAACATGCAGATGGCTGTTCTTGTTTTGAGTAGCAAACATGTTTGGATTTCCATATTTTAAACAGGTAAAACCAGGCCCCGCCGAATTCAAGTCAAATCAAAATAGGATATGAATCTCCTGTTTTCTGTGTTTGAGCAGAAAGAGACCAAGACAGTTCAAGCATTTGTGGCCCCCACTCTTCCTCTGCCACTTCCACTGTCATTTTCGTTTCCTTAAAAAAAGACCTGGTAATGAGAATAGGACACAAGCATTTTAATGAAGCAGCTAGAACCAAGGACTAAGATGTTAAGCTGGAGTGAATGGTGGTTAAGATCTACCTCACTTCTTCAGATAGAAAAATGCAATATGGAAAGCAGCCTAAGACAGAGAACTGATGAGACAATTGTTAGACGACAACAGAATGAAGAAGAAGAAGAAGAAGAAGAACTAGTTTATGTGGGAGTGAAGAAGGAACCCTGAGAAGGGAAGGCTACTTTCCGGTGGCTTCTTGAGAATACTTATGAAGAGAAACTGAAGGTTGTTATTGTCCATGTTCATATCCCAAGACAGACGATCCCCTTCAGTATACACTCTCTATCTCTGTTACATATGAAAATTTTCTTTTCTAGCGGATGAGCCACATTCAGTTCCCTTTCTGCTTTTCTTGAGATTTGCGTTAGCCATGATTATTTGCTTCTTAAGTTTCAGTAATTAATGTAAAGGACTTTATCGGTGCTCGTATTTAAAAGAGATTGGTAGATAACCCATTTTTCCCACTACAAATTGGTTGAGAAACAAATGCTGCATCAAGTTGACAGGAAACCAAAATTTAACACATGATTTTGTTATTTATTTATTTATTTTATTCTTTTTCCCACTACAAATTGGTTGAGAAACAAATGCTGCATCAAGTTGACAGGAAACCAAAATTTAACACATGATTTTGTTATTTATTTATTTATTTTATTCTTTGCACATTTTGGTTTTTATCTTCATCATTTTCCTTCAAGCCTTTCCCCATCAAAACAGGGTTGGTTTTATAAAAACAGTGGATAAAGGTTTATGACTGCTTGTCAGCATGTTGTCTATTTTTCACCAGTTAGTTCCACCATCTTTAAAAAAGCAACTCTAAAAATAAAGAAAATAATTTTGATTGAAAAATGTAAGATGACAATCTTTCTTCTGAAGTAGGAAACTGTCTAGACTAATATGTATGATGATAATCTTGTTGTGGGACATTGTGTTAGTTATGTTGCTGAATATAGAAATAGTATCACATTTCTCAATTTACAAAAATGAGTGAATACCCATAGTTAGGGAGGGCCTACACTCAGTGAACTGGGTATGTAATAAAGATGGGGGATGAAATATTTACTGATTGATCTTCTGCAAGTTTGAATCTGAATCTAGTGTAACAAAGGATGGACTAAGCTGAAATTTCAGTTTACTGATTGAATACCCATAGGTAGGGCCTACACTCAGTGAACTGGGTATGGAATAAAGATGGGGGATGAAATATTTACTAACTGAGCTTCTGCGAGTTTGAATCCGAGTTTTTTGTGATGATTACTAAGAAAGAGGAACAGATATTTGTTGTTAACGGAAATTTCAGTTCACAGCTCTTTTACACCATACTTGAATTTTTAGAAACTCAAGTAAGGTTCGGGTCTTACTATCAAGAACATTGTTATATACATGCACTCTTACGGACAAACAGATGTATTACTTAAGTACAAGGTGCCTCTTCTCTTCAATTACACTGATAACTTACAATGAGACTCATGTTAAAAATTGGATGTATGCTAGTTCTCTCTACTTATGTCACTCGTTTGTAGTTGATATTCCTGCAATCACAATCCTTGATGATAAAAGTAGTATTAATTTTTTCCTTTATGTTTTAATTCATTATTCCCAAGGGAAGCGAGCTTCGTTTAAGAAGGATAGAAGAGCAATTGTGAAGGAATACGAACAACGTGAGAGGGAGAAGATGCAAAAATGTTTAGATGGTTACATGAATGTGTGCTTAGAACTAAAGGTGCATTTGCTGTTACTTAATCTTATAATCTTTACTTTTCCTTAAACAGTATATTAACTCTGCGTGATTGTTCCTTTAGAAAGCTCATCTGAGAGCCTTCTGAGTTAACTCTATTCCATTGATTTTTGATTTTTCCGTGAAAACAAGGACGAAACATTTCTAATGTAAAATTATACTCAACTATAAAAGATAATATAGTATCGATGTCAGAAGCCGTTATTCAGAAAATTTTTTTCTTTTTCAGATGCAAGCTGAGAAACTAGTGATGGAGGCAGATGCTGCTGCGAAGGGGCTTTTGGAGCTTATATCGACACATAAGATTGACAATCTTGTTATGGGATCTGCAGCAGACAAGCACTATCCAATGTATACCTATCAATATTTTAAGAATAGTGAAATTTTGAAATGAACTGCAGATCACACCCTCCAGTTTGCTCAGGAAAATGCGTTTTCCTTCTTAACAGCACCTACAATATCGTTTGAAGATTTGATATTCCCAAGTTGATTTTAGCTGATAATATTTTTATAAAAGCAATTATGAGCGGGAAATAATTACTGAGAAATTCTGAATGTTCGATTCATTAAATTAATCATCAAAATTTCACCTTGCACTACTTTTCATGGCTTAAAGTGACATTTATTCAATAAATATCGCAGTAGTCTGAACTGTGGTCTCAGTTCTGTTTTCTTCATGTGGTGACTGTGATATAAAATTTGAAATGTGCAAGTTATCGATAAAGGCGGCCCAGTGCATGAGGCTGCCACCAATGTGCAAGTTATTGATGCTTTTCTTAAATAGTTCAGTTATCCCTCCACTTGATGACTAGCCATCTTAGCAGATATTTCTTTGTCTTCTAGATCACCTAAGATATTATCCTTAAAACACAGTAAATCATAGCAAGAAAGAGGGAGATGTCTTGCTATAAAGCTGACCTGACAGATTTTTATTGCAGTTGAATACCCACTAATGAAAGGTTTTAAAGTCACAGGTCAGGAAGATAAAAGAACCAACATCAAGGACAGCGATTACTGTGATGCAACAAGCTGATTCGTCCTGCAATATATGGTTCATTTACAAAGGAAACCTGATCGGCTCAAGGTGATCCTAGACCTTGTTAAATTTGTTACTTCTGCTTCCTTTTTGCTTTTCTTTAAATTTTGTCACCAGTTAGATATATTGCAATTCTCGTAACTCATTGATTATACTTACCAGTACTTAGTGCAACACATGAAACCTTCTGAATTCATCTGCCATAATTAATTGAGCCATTGATGTAATCCTCATAGTTCATTCATGTATGTTTTCTTTTTAACTGTAAATATGAGAGAGGGAACGATTGACATGAGAATTTCTACTGGGAGAGTGTGTCAATGGAACAATAGCATTTCATGAGAGGATAACATTTAACTCCTGAAAAAAAATGAAAGACATTGTTCACTTTCTTCAAAATTTAGCCTATATTTACTTCCTCCATTATAGTGTGCGCGTGTGCATGGTGCGCGTGCATGTGCATGCATGCAGTGTGGGTGGTGGGGTGTGTGGTTCGCTAGTGTGTATGTGTGGGGGCAGGAGCGAGCACATCGGCATGTGTGTGGGTACGTGGATGTGTGCCCACACACGTTTCTATGTACTTGTGTTTATGAGCAATGGTGGGAAGATTAGTGCTTTAAATGATCATTAGAGGAAATTTCCTCCTTTTTCCAGAGAGTTTTCTTTCCCTTCTATAAATTTTATGCCATGAAGATTATCATGATTGGTCTGATGATGAAATAACAATGTGGATATTGGAGTTTTAGACATAGGGCTTTTGTTATATTAGACCCCAGATCTCCATATTTTTAAAATTAGACCCCCAATCTATTTAAGTTGTTTAAATAAGACCTTAAAATCTATCAAGTATATTAAGTTGTTTTAGATATGACCCCAAATTAGAACAAATATGAACATATAAGGGTCTAGTTTAGAAATGTGAAGATTTTAGGGTATAACACATAATTAACAAATATTTGGGGGTGTAAGATGGCAATGACCCTTAGATGTATCATAAGAGGAAATCCCTCTAGACCCTGCATGCTATGAATAAATTGCTCATCTTCTGTGGAGTTCTCAAAACTTAACAAGCTTCACTAGTACAAAATGAGGCATCCTAAACGGAAAATTTCATCTAGGAAACTCACATTTCCGTCTAAAAAAACTATCTCAGACGGAATTCCTTCTAGGTTGTGAGTCGAGTATGTTGCCGTTTATGATGCGGTATTCTAGACGGAATTTCCGTCTAGGATGTATCCTAGACGGAAATAAAATCCGTCTAGGAAGCTTCCTAGACGGATTTTTATTTCCGTCTAGGATGTATCCTAGACGGAAATTCCGTCTAGGATACTTCCTAGGCAGATTTCCATCTAGAAAGTATCCTAAACGGAATTTCCGTCTAAGATGCGTGCTATAGTTTTTTTTTGAAACAAACTTTGTGTATTGAGTTACAAAGTGAGCATTCCGTCATTATACAAAATTGAAACCTATTTTAAGCAAAAAAAAATTTGATCAATTCTGCAAGTAAGATAATCAAGTTTTTAACTAATTTAATAATCTCTGTTAACAAAATGTATCCATCATTAGACAACACAGCAAAAACATTAAGTTACAAAGTGAGCAACAAAAAAAAAAGATTCCATAACAAGCATCAAGGCACATCCACTGCCTTGGAAAATTCCATATCCAGTCCCTAGGGACATCAATTAGATTACGACTAGAACCATGATCTGCAAATACCTGCATCAAAATTTATACTTGTTTAAGTATTTTACTACAAGGACATTAGTGAAGTCAGAATCATTTGCAACATTCAATTTTATCATAAGGACACAATATTTACCTCATTAACATGGTAATATGTGCCATTGAGTGGAAAACTTCCTCTATTTGTTGTCCTACATGGAATCTGTTCAAGTTGACATACAAATAACAGAAATCATCTAGAATAATCCTTTGTGGGTGTATATAAGTTTGTACTTTAGTGACGAGTCATCATTAAATATAAGATATAACATAGGTCATATATAAATATAAAAAGAACTTAGCATTACCAAAAGTGTCCCTCTGACCATCTGAGTTGGTGCTTCTCTTATGCTATTGCAACTAAAGCATGTATTCCTGTCACATAATTTACTAGTGTTCTTGGTGTTGCAGCATGCAGATGGGGGGCTCAATCGATTGAGCAGTTTCACCTGTTACATGCCATTGCAAGTGCATAAGTAATAAAATTTAGATGCAAACATGTCTTAGATTTCCAACCACAAACAATGTGCTTGTCTGGGGTCCATATAGCTAGAAGATAGGGACATGGATCATCAGCCTTTCTTTTGTCCAGCTGTAACAAGATTTACGGAGCAAATAAATTAACATGATCTAAAGTCGTGCCAATTGGAACATATGAATGCAAAGTGTTTGCACTCTCCTCTCATTGGTATCATGCAAAGTGTTTGCACTCTAAAGTCAAGATTTTGTCCAGCTTTATCATGTATCTCCTCTCATTGGTATCATGCAAAGTGTTTGCACTCTAAAGTCAAGATTTTGTCCAGCTTTATCATGTATATGAATCGATTCATCACTTGCATATGGTTTGCACTCTAAAGTCAAGATTTTGTCCAGCTTTATCATGTATATGAATCGATTCATCACTTGCATATGTTACCCGAAATAAGCTCAATAATCACCTTGCCAAAAGTAATTAACTGATAGTGCATCTCATATCTGAAAAATTAAGACATAATACTAGAATTAGTAGTAAGAAATCTAAATTAGTACTAAGAATTTATAAGCTAGAATGTAGCTTTTATGTTGTTTGAAGCTTTTGTGACTCTGTTTCAAGAACTGACAAATAACAAGAACTATGTTTTTCTTAAACAATAATAAAACAAGCATACTATAATAAGGTAATTCTTGTAAAAAATGCAATATTAATCCTAATTAGAAAAAATAAAAGCAAATAAAAGTAATCAAATCACAGATGCTAGTTTCAACAATAAATTCAGAATACATTTACATGCACGAACTGCCTATGTATCATGTATCTCTTTGTCTGCTCTCTTTTTTATAAATGGCATCACCATTACCATATATTACTGTCCCTATTTGTCATATGAATTTCATGCTTTTATTTAGCTTACAGACTAAGTGGGCATTTGATTAACCAGGTATCAAGTTTTTTGTCAGTCATATGAAAAAAAAGTAATAGAAGGAAATGGAACATTCAATTCAATCCTCGCGCTTATAGTCTTTGAATAATAAGAACAAAAAATAATTAATAAAGCCATAAAATTGCATCAAATTTTATCCCAAACTTTTGAAGTCAAAATAGCAACCATGGACATTTGAAGGCAAAGCATTCTAACTGCAACAATACCTTTCATGTAACTCTCGTAAGCCAGCTGCGCGGCCAACAGGTCGAAAACCCCGGCCCCTACTGACTTGAATACCGTCACCTCCTCCTTCTCGCCAGCGTCCCCAGCCACATCACCGCTTCTCGAGGCACCCCAACCAGCTACCATGCCTCCTCAATCGCGACAAACACCTGCCCTCGTCTCACCGCCACCTCATCGCATTCCCTCATTTCCCTCGTATACGACCCCATCAGATTCAAATGCGCCCCCTTCTTGATCAGCTCCTCTCTCACCAGCGGCCTCTCCGAGCTCGTGGCGCAGACGATGACATCAGCGACCTCGACGGCCCCATCGAGGTCCTCGTCAACCTCGAAGGTGAGCTCGGGCGGGTGGAGGTTCCGGAGGCTGGGCTAGGGTTTGGGATCTGGAGGGGGTGCGGTTCCAGAGGAGGAAGCGGGAGAGGAGGGGCGGTTTTAGAGTGTGGCGGAGACGAGGTGGGGGGCGGGTGCCGGCGCCGTGTGAGGGGCACAGAGGGGAGGGGGAGAGGGGGGAGGCGGCCGACGGAGAGGGGAGGTGTGGAGTAGGGTGAGGAGAGTGCTGTCGAGGGAGGCAAGGGGTTAGCCGGAGGAGGAGGAGAAAAGAGTACGAGGCTGAGATGGAAGGGGAGAGGGAGGGGAAGGAGATGGCTCGGAGATGGTAAGGAGGTGTATCGACTGAGGGATTTGAGAGAGACAAAGAAAAAGATCTAAAGGATTTGAGAGAGATGGGGTCTTGAGATAGGGGTTTGAGCGCGGAACCAAAGAAATTAGAGGGGAATGGAAAAAAAGTTAGGGGGAGCAGGTTTTATTGTTTTAAATTTTATTTCTAAAAGGGGACAAGCATCCTAGACGGAAAATTCCGTCTAGGATGCATTCAGTTTAGGATGTCATCTGTCTAGGATGCATCCTAGACGAAAATTTCTGTCTAGGATATGTAGCTCATTTTTAAAAAAAATAAAAAAAAAAACCGTCTACTTTGTTATCCTAGACGGAAATTTCCGTCTAGGATGTTTTATCCTAGACGGAATATTCTAGACGAAAATTTTCCATCTAGTTTAATAGCAAACTAGACGGAAAAATTTCCGTCTAGAATATTCCGTTTAGGATATGTGATTTTCTACTAGTGCTTGATCCACTCTGTGATCAAGATGTATAGTTCCTGCATCCGCTTATGATTTGAGTTGTCTGGTTCTTGTTTGAGCTAACTGGGTAGCATTTCTTGTTTGTCCTTTATGGTATTCTGAATTGAATGGTTTATAATTCATTTTACGCGTTAGAGTTTAGTTTGTTAGTAAGCTTCACATTTTGATGCTCATACTTTGATAGGAAAGAATTTCTAGACAAATCAGGGGTTGACCTTCACCAACTTCCATCCCGAGTTCCTTATCAAGCCAATCCAATCAGTTGAGGTCCAGTTCCTTATCGGATGGTTATGCTGATACCTCAAGCTCGGATGCCAACCAGCATGATCTTGATAGGCAAGTCCTCTGAGAAGAAACAACATTAGTACCCTATGCTTCTCCTGTCATAACACTGAATTCTCGAAGCAGGTTTTGTACAAAGGAAAATCTTGGCACTGATGCTAGCGATACAATCTCAGTAAGTTTTTATTACTAGAATGTTCCTTGTACGTCACAAATGTTACAGACTTTAGCTGTTTGGGTTCCTTGTCAATGCACAAGGATGCTGAGAGCACAAAGGAATCAATACCGTTGGTTCACAAGGGTGATTAGGATTTTTTTACTTTTTATCTCCACAGAATGAGCGGGTATGAAAATGTATATGATTCCCTTTCCAATCTTTTAGAGTGCCTTTGGGTCCCTTAATATCGTTGGGTGTCTCAATATCTGTCAACAGTATCTGTCAACAGTGTCGGTGATCATGCCCACAATTGCCATGTGCTTTTTCTCAAGTTTTTAATGATAGCATAATCCATAATCTAAATCTTTGGACAATAGCTACTATCTACAATAACACAATTGTCGCATTATGTCCTACATTGATCCAGCAATTTTCTATTTAGCCTCCATCAAGTGATATTTTCAGATATAACGGGGAGAAAATATCCCATGATCTTATTGTTTTTCATTTACTTCTATTGGAAGAATTTGATAATAGAGTGCATGTCAAACTCTGGGATGCCCTCATAGAAGTTGAGAGATTAAAGAAAGAGGTTCGCGAGGAGTCCCTAAGGCATCAGAAAGTGGAAAAAGATGCAGATAAGGCTCTTAAAAGGGTGAGGCTTTTACGACATTTAGTGGTACTGTAGTTTAGGAATCCCGTCATTCCTGGCAATCACGACTAGTACTATAGCAGTAAATCTATCAAACATTTGTTAGAATTCTGATACTGTCATGGAAACCTTCCTGGTTGGTAAAATATAAATTTGCTGCATGAGATACGCTCAAATGAAATAACTTTCATTTACAGTGCAAAGTATCTGAGAATTTACTCGACGAAGTGACCAATCGCAAAAAAGATACTGAGGAGGCACTTGTGTGAAAAAAACAGAGGTTGAAATTCTTAAGAATCAGCATGATGATATATTTGAACAATTTCAGATAGCAAACGGGCAAAACCTAGCATTGAAAGTTCATATTGCAGAATTCAAAGGCATTGTTAGTGATCTTAAAGGAGAACTTGCAGAAGCTCGACATCTGTTAAATACTCTTGTTAGAATAAGTTTATTGGGTATTGGGTTAATGGGCTGTGACCCGTTAACCATACTCCTCTTTGTATGCATATATATATGTATTCTTAACTATCTTAATGACTCAATTGATTAGGGTTTTTGATCCTTCAACATGGTATCAGAGCGATACCCTCCAAACCCTAACCCTTGTTCTTAAAAAAAAAAAAAAAAAAGTACTAACCTTCTCTGCTCTCCTCCGCTCCGCAACCGGACTTCACCACCCTCCAAACCCTAACCCTCGACGACGGTGCCGGAGTCTCTTCGAGCTGCTCACCACCGCCCTGCGTTTAGTTCTCATCGCCGCCATCAAAAAAAAAAAAAAAAACATCGTCCTCTCCTTTGCTAGATCCGCTGAGCTCCAACCTCCTCTAGCCGCAGACCTCCGACGATCCTCTTTCCTCCAGCCTCGGCATAGTCAGCAAAGAAAGCATCCTCGTCTGCAGCATATTTCTCAACAAGTGGGCGGAAGACACGATCAGAGAGGAGAGCCTTGTCGGTAATAAGATAAAGAAGGTCAACTGCCCTCTTTTATCTTTTAAAGGCTAACTGCCTTTTGTTTCATTAAAATAAAGTGGGGGAATGTCGAGAAGGACTGACGAAGGAATCTTGAAACTCTGTCCGCTTATGTGTTAATCTCAAATCAAAGGATTCTTTGATTAAAACTCCTTTTTGCTACTACTGACTATCCTATAACAATGTCTTTTGATATCTCCTCTGATGTTACTACTGTCACTACTCCTACTACTGAGATTTCTGCACCAAAGGTGGTTTTGGGAACCACGGTAAAGTTAAATGGCACAAACTATCTTCTTTGGGCACATGCCTTTCGTATTTTCATTGGTGCTCAGAACAAATTAAATCATCTTCTGGCATCTCCGCCCCTCACTACAGATCCTACCTACAGTTCATGGCTATCGTCTGATTATTGTGTTATGACTTGGCTTCTAAACAGTATGGAAGCACAGATCAGTAGCAGTGTTATGTTCTTAACCACTGCGAAGGAGATGTGGGACAGCCTGAAGATTATGTACGGGAATGAGAAGAATGTTTCCCGTGTATTTGAGATCTATGAGCGACTGTTTGCACTGAAACAGGGAGATAGATCAGTTCCTGAGTTCTTTGGTGAGTTGAAGGGACTGATAGACGAACTGGAGATGCATCAGCCTGCAGTAGCTGATGCAGCGACGCTGTTGGGATATCGCCGTGACCTGGCGGTGTCCAAGTTTCTTTCTGGATTGCACCCTACCTTACAGTCCCAGGTGAGGGGACAGATATTGGGTGGAGATACCGTTCCTTCACTAACTGCTACATTCTCCAGAGTTATGCAGGTCTCTACTGGTGTTACTTCTACCACTGCACCGTCTCCACCTTCAGTTCATCAGTCTGCCATGTTCTCTAGTCGAGGCAGAGGCCGCGGTCGTGGTCGTGGTCGTGGTCGTGATTCAGGGGGAGGACGTGGTTCCTTTAGTGGGAGACATGATGATTCTGATAGGGGCTCACGTCAGTGTAGTCACTGTGGGAGGACCAATCATGTTTCTGAGAAGTGCTGGGAAAAGTTTGGTCGTCCTCAGTGGGCTCAGGTCGCTGACGCCGAGTCGACTCGCTCGTCTATTTCTGCTACTACTTCTGGTGGTCCAGCTGCTACTGCTACCACTGTTCAGATTTCTCAGGCAGATTATGAGCGATTACGCCAGCTAGAGCTCTCTCAGAACAGTCATTCTGCTACTCATGCATCCTCTTCAGGTATGGATGCTTACATAGCTTCTTCTCACAAACCCCGGGTACTAGATTCTGGAGCCTCATCTCATATGACAGGTATAAAGGATCACTTTGTATCTTTACATCTTTGTAAAGTTAAATGGCACAAACTATCTTCTTTGGGCACATGCCTTTCGTATTTTCATTGGTGCTCAGAACAAATTAAATCATCTTCTGGCATCTCCGCCCCTCACTACAGATCCTACCTACAGTTCATGGCTATCGTCTGATTATTGTGTTATGACTTGGCTTCTAAACAGTATGGAAGCACAGATCAGTAGCAGTGTTATGTTCTTAACCACTGCGAAGGAGATGTGGGACAGCCTGAAGATTATGTACGGGAATGAGAAGAATGTTTCCCGTGTATTTGAGATCTATGAGCGACTGTTTGCACTGAAACAGGGAGATAGATCAGTTCCTGAGTTCTTTGGTGAGTTGAAGGGACTGATAGACGAACTGGAGATGCATCAGCCTGCAGTAGCTGATGCAGCGACGCTGTTGGGATATCGCCGTGACCTGGCGGTGTCCAAGTTTCTTTCTGGATTGCACCCTACCTTACAGTCCCAGGTGAGGGGACAGATATTGGGTGGAGATACCGTTCCTTCACTAACTGCTACATTCTCCAGAGTTATGCAGGTCTCTACTGGTGTTACTTCTACCACTGCACCGTCTCCACCTTCAGTTCATCAGTCTGCCATGTTCTCTAGTCGAGGCAGAGGCCGCGGTCGTGGTCGTGGTCGTGGTCGTGATTCAGGGGGAGGACGTGGTTCCTTTAGTGGGAGACATGATGATTCTGATAGGGGCTCACGTCAGTGTAGTCACTGTGGGAGGACCAATCATGTTTCTGAGAAGTGCTGGGAAAAGTTTGGTCGTCCTCAGTGGGCTCAGGTCGCTGACGCCGAGTCGACTCGCACGTCTATTTCTGCTACTACTTCTGGTGGTCCAGCTGCTACTGCTACCACTGTTCAGATTTCTCAGGCAGATTATGAGCGATTACGCCAGCTAGAGCTCTCTCAGAACAGTCATTCTGCTACTCATGCATCCTCTTCAGGTATGGATGCTTATATAGCTTCTCCTCACAAATCCTGGGTATTAGATTCTAGAGCCTCATCCCATATGACAGGTATAAAGGATCACTTTGTATCTTTACATCTTTCTAATAAGTTTCCCTCTATCCGTATTGCTGATGGTACTCTTTCTCCAGTTCATGGTGATGGAGTAGTTCATGCTACTTCATCTTTGAAACTATCTGATGTGTTATATGTTCCTAAATTTCCTGTTAGCTTATTATCCATTAGCAAGTTTACAAAGCACAATAACTGTAAAGTCACTTTTTTTCCCTCTTATTGTGTTTTTCAGGACCTAGCAACTGGGATGACGATTGGTTCGGGGCATGAGAGAGGAGGTATTTGGTTCGGGGCATGAGAGAGGAGATATGTACTATTTGGACGATAGTGTGTCAGATACTGGTCTTGTTGCATCACAGCCTGACTCTACCTTACTGTGGCACTGGCGTCTAGGTCATCCTTCACTGCAAAAGCTTAGATCGGTAGTTTCTATTCAGCCTTCTGTTTCTTCATTAGGTTGTGAGTCGTGTGAACTGGGTAAGCACCATCGTGCTACTTTTCAGAGTCGTGTCAATAAACGCAGTAGTGTTGCGTTTGAGTTGGTTCATTCCGATGTTTGGGGTCCTTACCGTGTTTCCTCTGTGAAAGGTTTTCGATATTTCATTGTCTTTGTTGATGATTTCTCTCGCATGACTTGGTTGTATTTGTTAAAAGAGAGGTCTGAGGTCTCGAATGTTATTGAACTTTTTTATAATGAAATAAAAACCCAGTTCTCTACTTCTGTTCGTATTCTTCGTACTGATAACGCTTTAGAATATATGAAAAATGATGTTACAAAATTTTGTGCACTTAATGGTATTATTCATCAGACTTCATGTTCTCACACTTCACAACAAAATGGAGTTGCTGAGAGAAAGCATAGACATATTCTAGATGTTGCTAGAACAATGATGATACATATGAATATTCCAAAGTATTTGTGGTCTGATGCTGTTCTAACTGCCTGTTATTTGATTAATCGCATGCCTTCCTCTGTTCTTGATGGTTTGATACCATTCCACTGTCTTTATCCTGCTAAAAAACGTTTTTCTGTGATTCCTCGAGTTTTTGGTTGTACGTGTTTTGTTCAGGATTTGACACCTGGTTTGGATAAATTGTCTTCTAGATCCATTAAGTGTGCTTTTGTTGGATACTCACGTACTCAAAAAGGGTATAGGTGCTATCATCCCTCCACCAGAAAATATTTTGTGTCTGCTGATGTTACCTTTTTTGAGTCTGTCCCATATTTTTCCTCTGGTTCCACTACCTCTGTCAGTCCACAGGTGCCACTACCTTCTACGGCTCCCACTACTATTCCGGTATCTGCTCCTGAGGCTACTGCACCAAAGCCTCTACTGACATACTCTCGCCGTCCTAAAGTACATACACCTGTCTCTGCTCTCGCCGTCCTAAAGTACATACACCTGTCTCTGCTCTCGCCGTCCTAAAGTACATACACCTGTCTCTGCTCCTGCTGACTCTTCTTCTCCAGCTGCAGGTCCATCTCATGTCGAGCCTCATATCTCTTCTGACTTAGATGTTCCTATTGCTCTTCGTAAAGGTAAACGGTCTTGCCCAAAATATCCTATCTCTCTTTTTGTCTCTTATGACCGTCTCACCCCATCCTTTCGTCAGTTTGCATTGTCCTTGTCCACTGTATCTATACCCAGGTCACATGAGGAAGCTATGTTAGTACCAGCCTGGAAGCAGGCTATGGATGAGGAGATGAATGCACTGCTTTCTAGAGGGACTTGGGATTTGGTCTCTCTACCTGCTGGAGCGACTGTGGTTGGCTGCAGATGGGTGTATACCTTGAAATATCGTCCTGATGGGTCTGTTGATAGATATAAAGCTCGCCTGGTTGCTAAAGGATATACCCAGACATATGGTATTGACTATTTTGAAACCTTTTCTCCCGTTGCTCGTCTCAACTCCATCAGAATTCTTTTCTCTTTAGCTGTTAATATGGATTGGGCGATGCACCAACTAGATGTGAAGAATGCTTTCCTTTATGGTGATTTGGACGAGGAGGTTTATATGGAGCAACCTCCTGGGTATGTTGCTCAGGGGGAGAATATTATCTGCAGGCTGAGGAAGGCCATTTATGGGTTAAAACAAAGTCCACGAGCTTGGTTTGATAAATTCAGCAATGTTATTTCTAGTGTTGGTTTCCAACGCTGCCAGTCTGATCACTCTGTCTTTCTTCGACGCACAACTGGTTTGGTTATTTTAGCCGTATATGTTGATGATATTCTGCTGACTGGGAGTGACTCTATTGCCTGAGACTAAGGAGTATCTAAACCGTCATTTTATCACTAAGGACATGGGAAAACCAAAGTATTTTTTTGGGATTGAAGTTGCATATCAAAAGCATGGCCTGTTGTTATCCCAAAGGAAGTATGTGCTAGATTTATTAGAAGAAACAGATCTCTTGGGATGCAAACCTGCAAGCACTCCAATGGAGGCAAATGTTGATTTGTGGCGTGATGATACTTCTTTACTGGATGATGCTGGACGATATAGGAGACTGATTGGGAAGCTAATCTATTTAACAGTTACCAGACCTGATATTACATTTGCAGTAGGTGTACTGAGCAGATTTATGCACAAACCTAGAGAGGTTCATTGGACAGCTGCTCTAAAGATTTTGGCATATGTCAAGAGTTGTCCTGGTAAGGGATTGCTATATAAGAAGCATGGGCATACTCACATTTCTGCTTTCTCTGATGCTGGCTACGCAGGAGATATGGGAGACCGAAAGTCAACCTCAGGATTCTGTACGTTTGTTGGAGGTAATCTTGTGACTTGGAGAAGTAAAAAACAAGATGTAGTATCACGGTCTAGTGCAGAAGCCGAATATAGAGCAATGGCTCACACTGCTTGTGAGATGGTTTGGCTACGAAAGTTTATGACAGAACTTGGTTTTGATCAGCCTGGACCCATGCCAATGCATTGTGACAACCAGTCTGCCATTTATATTGCACAGAATCCTGTGTTTCATGAAAGGACAAAACATATTGAAGTTGACTGCAATTTTGTCAGAGATGCTTGGGAGAAGAAGATAGTGTCTCTCATATTCACTCCATCCTCACAACAACTTGCTGATATTCTTACCAAGGCTACTTCTTCAAAGGTGTTTTCTACTACATGTGACAAGCTGGGCATGATGGATATCTATGCTCCAGCTTGAGGGGGAGTGTTAGAATAAGTTTATTGGGTATTGGGTTAATGGGCTGTGACCCGTTAACCATACTCCTCTTTGTATGCATATATATATGTATTCTTAACTATCTTAATGACTCAATTGATTAGGGTTTTTGATCCTTCAACAACTCTAAAATTGGAGAACGCAGACTTGCAGCTGGAACATACTGAAGCGGTCAAAGAAGTGGAAAAGCTACGTCAAAAGAATGAAATAGCGACCACAATAATCATTCATGAAGCAACAAGCTTCTCAGAGTTCTCCTACTCTGATATTGATTGTGCAACATGCCATTTTAGTGATTCACATAAGATTGGAGAAGGCGGATATGGGAGTGTTTACAGAAGTTTTCTTCGAAACACTATGGTGGCCATAAAATTGTTGAACCTGCAAAGCATTCAGGGCCAATCAGAGTTCTACCAAGAGGTAAATCAAATAGTTGGAACTCCCACTAATCCATACACATTTAAGAAGACACTGAAAAACATGGAATATGTATTTATTATATAAATATTATTCTCTATGAAGGATTCATATAGTTGCCCAGAGGCATCTCATAATGACCACATTAAAGAAAATCAATTATCTCATTTTACTGTTTTTGATATTGATTTCATAAAATTACTGAAAATCACTTACAACTGACACTTATATATTAAACAAAAACATAGCTATGAGTTGATAGGCCCTGTATTCATGTCAGTTATTGATCGAGTTCTCACATCTCATTGATACAGATTAGTTTCAAACTTGTATACTTTTTTGGTTACACAAGCGAATACTCATATGAAAAATTAACTTGTTTTTCCCACGTTATGTTAGGTGCGTGTTCTTCGTTACATGAGACACCCAAACATTGTCACCCTTATAGGATCATGCTCAGAAGCTCGAGCCCTCATCTATGAATTTCTTTCCAACGGAAGCCTTGATGACTGTCTTAACTGCAAGAACAACACCCCGCCTCTTACATGGCAGGTTCGCACCCGTATTATCTGTGAGATCTGCTCGGTTCTAATATTCCTGCACTCCAACAAGCCTTATCCAGTGGTTCATGATGATCTTAAGCCTGAAAACATCCTCCTTGACTCCAACTTCATAAGCAAGCTCAGTGATTTCGGTATCTGCCGCCTCCTGATGCAATCTAGTATCTCTGCCACCACCGTTTATCGCCAAACTCAGCCGAAAGGAACCTTTCTATACATGGATCCAGAATTCCTCGCAACAGGGAAGCTCACTACACACTCTGATGTCTACTCATTTGGTGTCATTATGCTGTAGCTTTTAACAGGAAAACCGGCACTTGGGATTGTCAAGGAAGTGAAAGAAGCATTAGGTAATGATGTGTTTCATAAGATGATAGATCATGCTGCTGGTCGTTGGCCTTTTGTGCAGGCTAAACAGCTGGCCTATTTGGGTTTGAGGTGCTGCAAGACGAGGAAGAAGCGACCTGATCTTGTGAGAGAGGTGTGGAGGGTGCTAGAGCCCATGATGAAGACAACTTCATTAGCTATGGCTTCGTTTGGGTCAGTCATGGAGTACAGTTGCCCTATCCCAGGTCACTTCATTTCAGGTTTGTCTTGCTGTACATTTACACTACATTTTGTAATGCAACTTTGGTGCATTTTCCTTGTACCCACTGTTTTAAACGTTGGATATCAGAGTCATGTTGGATGAAAAAAATATCATATCTTGGTAACTATCAGAGTGTCTTATTGGATATTGTTAATTTGTGTCATAGATGTCGTAAATGAAATCTAAACATATAAAACTGTGAAATCACGTAACTAAGGCATATTTAGGGACCAGAGAGGTTGGGAGAGATGCCACTAAGAGGAGTCTAGAGAAAGACGTGAGATATCAAGAAAGAGGAGGTTCTTACCAGTGACATGCAATCGAGTGATGAAGGGGTGTTAAGATGTTAAGGGTGAAGTGGCTCTCGATTTGGAGTAAGGTGAGGTGAAATGTTGGGGGTTAATTGAGCTCTAATTCCTTCTTTTTTGAGATTTGTATAAAGCTGATATTTTGAACTGAGGGCTCAATGCCCAAGTCACAACCTTGAAAACATATATTAAATGAGCCTGATATAGCATCATTTGGCCTGTATTTGCGCTCTAAATGTTGCTTGATACGTAGGAAAATATGAAAGTTCCCAAAATGGTAAATAAAACCTTTCTAGTCGCGACGAGCACTATAAAGTGACATTTCGGTGACATAATCAGACTTCCTGGGTGATCTTTTTAAACCCTGTTGTATCTAGTGATTGACTTGACATATTTCTAGTTATGAGCTGAGCTGCTGAAGGGTCTTTGAGTCATTCTTCGAGAGGTCATTTTTTAGTCACAAAGTGTCAAAACAAAATCAAGGATCAATTCATGTTTCTCCCTTTTTTTCCCACAGTTATATCCATGAGTATCTCATCATTCTGACACTTGACCAATTAATAGTGGTATTGTTTTTACCTAGTTTGTTTAAGTTCCGACTAATCTGCTATTTCTTCTCATGTTCTCACAGCTTTTTTCAGGTCTTCAGGGTATATCTAAAACTTATTTATGTTGGAAGATTTGATGACTGATTAATAATTATCTTGTCTTTCCATGTTTCTTGAAAATTCCAAAAGATATATATGAAGTTAAACCTGGCAATTTGTTATCTTTTCATCAAGCTTCTAGCTAATTTACAGTGCTTTCATTTAGATTCCATATTTTGCGTGTTATTTTTTTCCCTTCCGGCTTTTTTGCATTGCTTTTATCCAAGCTTTAGGCTGAAGCTTATATTGTTTTCCTGTATAGCTCCCGTTTTTCCAATTGCATTAACTTTCCAGTAGTTGTCTTTGTTTTGCCGTGAACAGTTATGTTCTGCTTTTTATGAAACGTAAGAAGCCTTCATAGTAGCAATATTGTTTCTTGATTGTATCTAATTGCATTCTTGTTGCATGCATTAATCACAGGAAATCATGTGGGACCCACACTTCGCAGCGGATGGTTACACATATGATGATATGAAGCTGAGGCTATAAAAGGATGGATGGATACTGGGCACATAACCTCGCCAATGACTAATCTTCCACTTCCTCACTGCGAGCTTATCCCAAATCGATCTCTTCGGTCAGCCATTCAAGAATGGATTCAGCAACATCAGCAGTGATGATCCTTTTGTCCTCTGTTTTCTTCCATGTTGCGTAGTATCTGGGTACCCTGCTTGCTTTACAATTATCGAGGAATATATTATAGAAATCCATGCTATTAGGAACAAGGACAAATTTTCAAAACAGACCCTTTTGGGTTTTTATTTGCAAAAAACGACCTATTTCGAAAAAAATTACAAAAACCGACCTGTTTTCAGCCCAGCGCTGAAAACAGGTCGGTTTTTGTTAAAAATTTTCCGAAACTTCACGGGAGTTAAACTCCCGTGAAGTTTAATGTATTTTTAAACTTCACGGGAGTTGAACTCCCGTGAAGTTTAATTTATACATAAATTTTCACGGGAGTTCAACTCCCGTGAAGATTTATGCCCAGATGCAACGCCAGGCTGTTCTCTGGAAGTTGGGACTGCAACTTCACGGGAGTTGAACTCCCGTGAAGTTACAGGTTATACTTAACATGCATAGAATGCTGTGCATGTTTTGTATACATACCTGTTAACTCATATATACACCAATTTATTTGCAAACAATCACAACAATATATACATGATTTAACCATGAATTAAACATGCACGATTATATATATGAACAATAATTGATCTTCAAAAGTTTAGTATTTGAAAATTCAGGAAAGTTACAAATTTTAACAAAATAAGTTCAAATACAACCCAATATAGAGCGTACGCCTGTCCAAATGAGCGAGACCTGTCCTCACGGCCTGCGAACTCGTCGACGTGAGTCTTATGAAACACCTACGCTATGCTCTTCTTGATCCTGCTGATGAGCCCTAACGCCACCTGATCCTGAATCTCAGTCACGTGCGCATCAATATCAGCATCAATGCTGTCTAAAACACGGACCTGCGAGGTAAACAATTTATTAAGTACCAATTTAATAAAAAATATTATAATTTAGCTTAGAAACTTACGTAATCTCTCTCGTTCATCCCACTTGTTATTCATCTCTAATCGAGGATTGCTACAAGTGTGGAGTCCATTGTATGTCGTGATTTTGAATTGCCCGCCTACTCTTACACCCGAGCGTGAATTAAGCTTCCACGGACACCTCGCATTGCCGTCGTGGTGTCCACTATTATCTTCGACATCATCATCTTTGTGATAGAAACAAACCACATTATAGCTTGTAGTATTATTTTTTGTTGGCCTGAACTTCACATTTTTTGCAATGGAATACGTGCGAATAGTATAGATCAATTTCTCCTTACTCTCGTAAAGATCTCCCTTTATGAATGAGAAGTCCTCGGCCTGTGTATCAACATCGCTATTAGTGCCAATAGGAACACTTTCCATCACGGAGTTATCAATCCATTCATCTCCTTGAAGTTCATCGGGCGGCGGATCCTCTAAGACGACATACTCATTATTAACATAACATCCGTCGATGTGTTGGTTTTCCCCGTCATCACGATCTATCAAGGTCATGCTATTAATTTGTAATCCCTCCTCTTCATCATCATTCTCGGATTCAACACTTGCATTATCTTCTTGAATTCCCGTGTTAGTATCGAAAGCATGTGAAGTGCCCACGAACGAAGGACCGCTCATGTATTGTGATTGTGTCCAACATTCATCTTGTTGAGGAGATAAAAAGCCTACAGAATCAACTTCAGGATCCTCCAACATGCGGGAATACATTCCTTCGTAGTTCAACGATTTGCCCAAATCTCTCTGATGTTTTTCAATGAACAATTCGACCGAACGCTTCTCGTCGTGTAAGACATGAATGAGACCCATATCGTAGTCACTTGATATTTGAATGCCACTTGTTCTGTTCCCCACAACAGGATAATTGCAAACCACACTGAGGTGATACTCACGTGAGTTAGTTAATGTAAGTTTGTGTAATTCATTAACCAACTCATCGAAAGTACACGATTTTGTTATGAACAACGGTCTCGTCGTGCCTCCTTCATAAACGGGCATATTATTCTCGAGGTAATTAATCTTCCCATCATAAGAACAGAGAATTACAATTCGATCGTTCATCGTTACCTCTGAAGAGTGAAAAATTCAATATCAATATTACACGAAAAGCCAAATAAATATTGATTGTTACTAATTTTTACATTTAGGTAGTAACTCTAATTTCCACATTAATTGATAATTTCACCTCTAAATACGCAAAATTATTTAATACGTCTTCACAAAATTCGTAAATAATTCACAATTAAATTCTAAAATCTAATTTATATCATACATATGCAAAAATCTAAAATCTAATTTTTCTTCACAAAATCTAAATAATTCACAATTAAATTCTAAACTCTAAATACAATAATTTTCGAAATTATTGATAATTTCCCCTCTAATTTCACAAAATTATTGATAAATTACACACTAATTCTTCACAAATTTCACAAAAATTATTGATAATTTCCCCATTGATAATTTTCCCTCTATTTTTCACATTTATTGATAATTTTCCCTCTAATTTTCACATTTATTGATAATTTCCCATCTACTTTTCACATTTCTTCATAAAATTCATAAACAATTCATAATTAAATTTTAAAATCTAGATTCTTACATGTAATCACAATCAAATAGTGGGAGTATACAACAATTAGAGATCACGAGAGTTGAACTCCCGTGAAGTTACAGTCCCAACTTCCCGAGAGCAGATATCGCCAAAGCTGCTCACGGGAAGTTGAGACTACAATTTCACGGGAGTTCCCGTGAAGTTGCAGTCCCAACTTCTAGAGAGCAGCCTGGCGTTGCATCTGGGCATAAATCTTCACGGGAGTTGAACTCCCGTGAAGATTTATATATAAATTAAACTTCACGGGAGTTTAACTCCCGTGAAGTTTAAAAATTCATTAAACTTCACGGGAGTTGAACTCCCGTGAAGTTTCAGAAAATTTTTAACAAAAACCGACCTGTTTTCATCGCTGGGCTGAAAACAGGTCGGTTTTTGTAATTTTTTTCGAAATAGGTCGTTTTTTGCAAATAAAAATCCAAAAGGGTCTGTTTTGAAAATTTGTCCTTAGGAATAATATATCAGGAATGTGTGATTGAGAGATATTAAGAATATGATTGGATATGATTTTATCTCATACATATCTTGTAACATCCTCCTAATCTCTATTTAAGAGAGGTTAGAAATAGATAAATTATATATATCTTCTTGACCTTTTTCTATTTCTCCACAACAATAATGTTTTTGGAGTGGTTCTTATTGGTTTTCTACAAATGTACTCATGTTCTCCAGTGCCTAACAGATTTATGATTAGAATATTATCCGGTCAAAGGATAGGAAAGCTACCTCCATCGAATCATACAGCCACCATAATCGGTTTGTTAACTCGCCTGTTAGAAGGTTGTGCTTGATATATATGTTGCGCGCAGCGGGAATTTCGGCAGCACAACAAAAGAGTCAGGTCGCAATAGGAATTCCTGTTTCATCAAGGAAACAAGAACCTTAAGCAAAATATCTCAACCAAGTGAGATATCAGCTCTTCCTCTCATTAGTTCTAGGACTGACCTGTCGAGGGAACCTAAATAAGCTATTACAAATCATACAAATAGCGAGACAACCAATTTTACGTGGTTCGGCAAATTGCCTACGTCCACGGGGAGAGGATGATGAGATTTTACTAAATCAAGGAGAGTACAAATGGTTACAATCTTACAAAACTCACAAACTAACCCTCAACCAAAGCTCTCAACTTGCTTATAATATCTCCCTTTCATAATGCTCAAAAGTCTCTCTTCTCTCTGATTACAACTCTCCTCACTTTTTAATTGATCCTAATTTCCATATATATAGAAAAACTAAAACCAAAACAAACTAGGAATCCTAAAACCAAAAACAAAACAAATTAGAAATTCTAATAACCTCATGTTACCAAAATAGATTAGGAATCCTAATAACCTCATGTTATCAAAATAGATTAGGAATCCTAATAACATCATGTTACCAAAATAGATTAGGAATACTGCTATCTAACAATTCTCCACCTCAGCGAAGTATTCCCAAAACTGAGCCGATACCAACATGAGCACCAATGCGTCGTCTCATCAAATTCGGCTGCACCAATATGGTTGCCTACGTACCCCCTCCCAAGGAATCAACCCGTCCGTAGTTCATCCAAATGACCGTCAATGGCCTCAACAATCACGAATGTGCAACAAGTTTTGACAATGATCAAACTTGTTACTCGGAACCACCTTAGTGAGCATATCCGTCGGATTATCCTTCGTGTGGACTTTCATAATCTCCACATCGTCATCTTCAAGAACATCCCGAACGAAGTGATAACGAACATCAATGTGTTTCGTCCTCGCATGAAAAATCTGATTCTTCGCCAAATAGATAGCACTCATGCTATCACAATGAATAGTGACGGACCTATGCGATATACCAAGTTCCTCCAAAAGTTCCCGAAGCCAAATAGCCTCCTTCACAGCTCTGTAATTGTCATATACTCTGCCTCTGTCATAGACAAAGCCACTATCGACTGTAAGGTGCATCTCCAACACACTGGCGCACGGGTCAAAGTAAACACATACCCCATCGTAGACCGACTCTTATCAAAATCTCTGGCATAATCCGAATCATTATAACCAATGCATAACTGTCCACCTGTAGTGTCCCGCTTATAAACTAAACCAACATTGAGCGTACCTCGAATGTACCTTAAAATCCATCTCACGGCGTTCCAATGACTCACTCCTGGATCATGCATGTATCTCGAAACCGTGCTCACCGCCTGTGATAAATCTGGCCTCGTACATACCATTGCATACATCAAGCTCCCAACCGCGCTCGCATATGGAGTCTTCGACATCAACTTTCGATCTTCAACTGTCTTCGGTGAAAGGTCAGGTGGAAGTTTTAAATGGGCTCCCAAAGGTACACTAACTGGCTTCGTATCCATGCTAACATGAAATCGCTGTAGAGCATTCTTTAAATAAGCCACCTATGTCAAACAAATTCTGTCATTCTTCTTATCTCTGCTGATCTCCATCCCTAAAATGTGTTTCGCCTCACCCAAATCCTTCATTTCAAACTTCTTTGAAAGCTGTGCCTTCAACTCATCTATAGCAGATCTGAAAATAGAAGCAACCAACATGTCATCGACATAGAGCAATAAATAGATGTACGCACCTCCTTTTAACTTGTGAAAATATACGTA